TCTTGATTGCTTTGACCTGGTTAAAGAAATCTACTCAGTTGATTGTGTGGTTATTTGTCAGCATGGATGGAACAGGTCAATAGTGGCTATCCCGTACACCCAGACAGATTTTACTGTATTTTAGTTTACATGCATTTACAGCCTATTTTAGCTTTTTACCATAAATGTCATGGATTCAATAAAAATTGCATCAAAACATTTCTTATTCTGGATCCAAAAAGATAAATTTGACACTGCCTATATATATATTATTAGGGATGTAACGGTATCAGAATTTCACGGTACGGTAATACCTCGGTATGAATGTCACGGTACGGTATTTATTGAATCATTTACAGGAAAAAAACAAAACTTATGAAAATACTCCAAAAAAGTGCCAAAAGTGTCAATGACATACAAATTAGTCATCTATCTGTAAGCTTTGAAACAGGAACTTCAATTTTAATAACAAAAAAATATTAAACCATGTAAAAAAAAAATAAAGTTTCAATTTAGTATTGTTGAAAACTCATCACATTCAACATTTAATCACTCACTCACTTAGATAGAGATGGGTTTAAAGGAAAATTATCATATAAATATAATCTGGTAAAAGCTGGTATCTCTGGTTTCTGGGACAAGAGAGATATGACTTGGCCCAGGTTGACAGCAGTGGGTAACGTTGTGCATTGTCTTTCCCCCACTTGAGAGGACAAACCATGAGTAAGATAGAGGTCTCATGTCTGCATCAATCTGAACAGTGTGCTGACAACACCGCTATTCAGTACGCGCGCGACAACACAGCTGATAAGAACTCGCGCGACAACACAGCTGATAAGAACTCGCGCGACAACACAGCTGATAAGATCTCGCGCGACAACACCGCTATTCAGTACGCGCGCGACAACACAGCTGATAAGAACTCGAGCGACAACACCGCTATTCAGTACGCGCGCCGCGACAACACCCGCTTTAGAGTTTTCCAGCTCTTTTTCATCCCCGCTTCTAGCAGCACACTCCATTTCCGCATTACTGGATCTGTAGCGACAACAGACTGCAAGGGATGATGGTCAAGCATGGGCTGATGGGAATTGTAGTTTTCACTACCTCCCGTTCGCTTCATTCGCCTGAGCAAATTTTCTCAGAAGACCTATAGTTTTACCGAGTCATGCGACTTCGGTAATATCGAAAAAAATTAATATTGCGGTATGACGGTATTTACAATACCGTTACATCCCTAATATATATATATATATATATATATATATATATATAATAGCACTGGCAATAGGCTACAATAGTTATGTTTCCATCCACCTATTTTACTGTAAAAACACTTTTACAATTTAAGTTCCATACATTTAATGGGTACAAGTATGCGCATTAAAAAAAAGTCTTGTGATTTTGTTATAAGAGATTATTTGATGATAAAAATGTGTGTGAATGGACAAACCAGCAGGCTGGGCACATTGCAAAACATCAGAGATAGTTTTTGGTTATTCTAAAACGTCTTAACCATTTCAGTATTAGTGTTATTATATTATTAATGACCTCCAGAATCAAGAACGACTGTGCTCCACGTCCCATGCCATCAATCGCCACCACACTTTTACTGCCTGTCATGATTGCCTTCTGAGATGCAAGTCATTTATTAAATAAAGAAAAGATTTATGCAGCTTCTCCTACCACTGCAAATTCCTACTATTGATATTTGGTGCCAGATAATCAGGAAGAATTTGTTTGCTTTGACTTGTTGGATGGAGACGCTGCTTTATTTGCACATCTTTTATGCGATAATCCAGTTTTGTGCATAAAGTTAATTAGCATTTTTGGATGGAAACATAGCTAGTGACAAGCAACAGTGCAGGAATTCATTCCGAGTCCTACTGTTTTTTTGTTGGTCGTTGTGCAATGGTTGATTAAAAGAGCTAATTTGCAAGTTGTGTTGTTTGATGGCAAAATTTTCTCTTGTTGCATATTTTAAAATGTTTTGGCACGGTTAGAGGCTTTTGCTAACAAAATGTGTCATTTTGACCAAGAGTTCTACTCTTTTGTTTAGTTTTACTTTTTTATTTGTTGTGATTTTATTTTAGTTAACTAAAATAATTTCTGAACGATAGTATAGTTTTAGTATTTATTTACTAAAATAACCATGGTGGGTTGATTCAAGAAAGAAACAAATAGGTGAGTCATTGAATCATTCACTTCACACTTCAGCATAGCCCCAACTATATTGCTCTACCATTCTGTTTGACTTGTTTTGAAATGGAGCAAAACAGAAACACTTTTCTAAAATGTAAGTTGCTTATTATTATTATTTACTTTTGTAGTAGTGTTGTTTTGAATTAACTTCTGTGTTGTCATGATGTACAAAATAGAGCATACGGTGATGTTTGGAGTATGAGTAGCTGGAATGATTTGTGAAGAGAGTTATTTTGTTGGCAGGAGTAGCCCTTGATTAAGCCTTTCTCTTATGGAAGGTGACAGGGTCTTTTGCTCACTACCTGGAGCCCATGCAGTCTATAAATACACACTCTTTCTCTCTCTCACTACAGCACCAATAACTGTAATGGTGTCCTCTCTGGGTGTTCTTTTAAATTATTGGACACATCTTGCCAAGATATAAAAAAAAACACTCTGCTGCCTCATCCAATTTTATTAATAATTCACTTCCTCCACATTTTTGCGCTAATTTGTTTGTGTTGGAATGAACGTTTTAAAAAGAAGACATGCATCTTTTTGAAGTGTGTATAACTGCCCACACACACTATGTCTTAAAGAAGAGAAACGTCTGGTGATGCGACCAATCATACTTGAGTTTTTGAAGGAGAAAGGGAGTAGAAATGCTGCCCTGTCATAAATAAGCAATTAAACTTAGAGAAGCTGGATCATATAGTAATTAAAGCCTACGCCAACATCATAAATCAATTGTGCGGTTTCACAGTCAGTTAGAGGGAGGATATCCAGATTCATGCACACACACACGCATGCACGCACGCACACACACACACATCCAAACATGCATGTATTTATGCGCATCTGCTTTACCCAACACACACACTCAAAAAGCCATCATGAATCATTCCTTAATCATAATGAAACTCTTCAAACTGCTTGTTCGTAGGTGAACATTGTTGACTTTAAGATACCAGGTGCTGTTTTTGCAGACCCTCAGGGCTCACAGAAGAAAAAGCATGTGCAGACAATGTGTTGCAAACTCTAGACTGTGGGCTAATGCTTTTTTTAGCTTCCAGTATGAGCTGTCAAATTTAAGGGCAAAGGATTTTGTGCAGTTTGCTTTTTTCTGACTCATAAATGACTGAAATGTCACGTGTCAAGTAACTCATCATGCCAGAAGGCAAAAACCTAATGTAGTTTACATCAGTAAGACATAAAATGTATCACAGGTCTCTTATAAAAGGATTACAGTAGTAAAAAAAAAATGCTCAAAACTTAAAATAAATGAAATAAAATTCAAAATCTTGATTATTCCACCAAATATTGATTTCTTTTCTGAAGTTAAAATACCAGTGTACTTCAATGTAATGTAAAAGGTAAACATATCTGAACACATGACTTTTTTGTTATTTTGACCAATTTCTACACTGTAAAACCCAAAAAGTGAAGGTAACTCAAACCATTTTAGATTTTTTTTATTTAATTAACTCATTATTTTCAACATGCAGTTCAAAACTCTTTTAAATGAGTAGAATTTACTTTCAGTCAATTTTCAGTTAACTACACTCATTTCAGTTGATAAAGTTGACTATTGGGCTTTATAGTGTACACTCAAAAAATGACTTGTTGCTTGTTCAAACTACTTCTTTTAATTGAGTTGAAACAACAAAATTCTTGTTTTATTTGGGGGACAAATTAATAGTTTTAGATCTAATAGACTTAAATCTTAAAAAACAATTAAGTTAACTCAATTGATATGTGTTGAGACAACATGAAGGAACTATGTGGAACCTAACATGTTTACAGTGTACGCTTTAAACCCTAATAAGTTGAGACTACTTAAATGATTTGAGCAAAGTGATTCTCTCAGTTTGTTGGAGTAATCAGAAATCGACAACTCAATGAATTGAGTTGACCAAATGTAGTCTCTTCATTAAATTAACTTAAATTTTTAATTACAGATAACCTAAATGTTTAAGTATAACTTAAAATAGCCAACAAATTAAACGTTAACATTTTTCAACTTTTATATTCTTTACTTGCTTACTTACTCCCAGGGCTATTTATATCAAAGTTGATATTTACCCACACCATGTTGGTGTTTCGTAACATCTAATTTTATGATGGGTCGTTAGCCCAACACTCAACATCCAATCTGGAGGACCAAAACACACATATATATACTACAGACAATTTAGCTTACCTTGGTGCATGACTTTAGACTGTGAGAACTTGCAAACTCCACACAGAAATGCCAACTGATCCAGCCGGGGCTCAAACCAGCGACCTTCTTGCTGTGAGGTGACAGTGTTACTGACTGCGCCACTGTGTTGTCCTTGCGTGTATATCAATGCCCCTGCTTGGATATCTACTTACTAACTTTTCTCTTTCATCAGAAGGGTTCAGGTAATGCCTATATGCTGCTGCACTTCAGTAAAATTCAGCATTATAAGCAAAATGACCACTTTGTGTCATATGATATACATCAACCAATCCGCGCGGTTGTCAAGGCAGAATTTCCATCGCAAATAATCATTTTAAACAAAGACATGGTGAATTGTTTAAAGAAATTAAAATATTAATGAAAATATACTGAGTATGTTAAACCCACCTGTTTAAGTTGTGATTTTGCAACTTGGTATTAAAAAAAAAACTATCATTTGAAAGAAATGTCATTAGTAGTTTGGAGAATAAAACAAAATTCTGTTTTATTCCAACACATAATTATATTTTATAAATCCAGAGAAATTGAGAAATTTGAATTTGTTACTTTTTAAATGACTGTATATAATTAAAACATGTTTTAATCTCATTAATAATGCAGTTAACTATTTTTTTCTTAGCCTTCCACACGGAGGGATACATGAAGCCCTAACTGCATCATGAAGCACATGTCCATCTCAAAATGGCTAAGTCAGCTGGGTCTACCTCAATACTGCATTCTATTTGATGAAGAATATGACGGAGTGGAGGTAAAATCAGCACACACTGTGAGTTTAGACACAAACACATGGGCATGCACATTATACAGCATACTGCACTGCAGAATTTAAACTATGCAATTATTAAAACAAGGTCATTTGAGCACGCCAGACATTTATGATCATGTCTTTATTAGAATCGTAATCAAGTACTGCACAGCTGTCAGTTAAAGTGAGTTTTGAAAAGCAGCAAACAGCATTAAATCTAAACTCTCGAAAGCACTCTAAGATTGCGCTCAGATGGTCTCGGTGAATATAAACCAGCTGATCTGACATCTGTATTTCAGCCACGAGCTCTTGGCAGAAACTCCACCTGGCATGCAAGTGTGTACAGGAACAGCAGTAAACTGTAGATATCGAAAGTATTTTCGTGGCTTACAGATGCCAGTTTGCATGCATTTCTTTGACCATAGAGATAAACATCATCCCTTAGGCTTCTGACTAATAAAAAGCAACCTTCACAATAATAATGCTAAACTTTATATTTCACACCACATTCACGCATACATATTATGAGTATATGGTTTTAAACAACAGCAGGCTTTCACTTACTGTACTTATTAATCCACTATCTTCTTTTAAAATTATTAGAATAAAGAATAAAACTCTTATTTTGTTATATATTGTTATACAATTTGTTCTATATTGGTATAAAACTCGAATTTTGTTAAATAATTTCAGATGAATTAGATGGGCATTTATTTATGTTAATAGTACAGGGCTGAAAAATGCCACGCTTTGAGAATCATCTTTCTGCAGAGGATAGGTTTGTTTGACTGTGGCTGCATAGATGTAACCAGTCAGCAAGATTTCCCACTTGTGGTCAGGGAGATGTTTCAAATTTTAAGTCGTGAACAAACATGAAGTGAATTTCTGTAGTGGCATGTAGTGCATGCTTTATCACAGATGAGGTGGATGCAATGCAATATTCATCAAAATACACCGCTCTTTCAGGTTTATTCAACCAGAAATTAAAATTCTGTTATTATTGCCCACTCTCATGCCGTCCCAATTCTGTTTCTTTATGAATTTGTTCTGATTTTTTCTTCTCTTCCACATCAGGTTAGGGTGCACATTTACTACAGGCAACACAACACATTGCCATTAGAGTCAGCAGCACAACACACAAGCACCGTGTTGCCTGTACTAAACATACACCCTAATCTGACATGGTGTCACCACAGCAGAATGAACCGCCAACTTATCCAGCATATGTTTTACACAGTGGATGCCCTTCCAGCCGCAGCCCATCACTGGGAAACATCCATACACTCTCATTCACAGACATACACTACGGACAATTCAGCTTACCCCATTTACCTATCCCACATGTCTTTGGGCTTGTGAGGGAAACCAGAGCACCCGGAGGAAACATGCAAACTCCACACAGAAATTCCACTGACCCAGCCGAGGCTTTAATCAGCGACCTAGTTGCTGTGGGGCGATTGTGCTACCCACTGCGCCACCATGATGCCCCCATTTCAATACAATCAATTGATATTATAAATAGATATCATTATTATTATATTTGTTTTTTACAATTTACAAATATATATTTATTCATATGTGATCATATCTTTAAAATGTGGAAATATAAAATAAAATGTAATAAAATGTAAAATGCTAAATAAAAACATTGTACTTTCAAGATTGCAAGGCTTTCTCCAAGATAGGCTCATTCTGAAAGCGTAGCCCTATATACATTTCTGGAGATTGTGAATTATGTAGCCAGAAGTACGTATGGCTGCATTTCATTTTTTTAAATAAACGCTATGGGGCGGTGTGACGCCATTCCTTTTCGCGCTTACCAGCTGATCGATTAACTCCATATGGACGGCTTTCCTGCTGCTACCAGTTCGTCCAGTAGCTCGCCATGTACGTCAGTGGACTTGAGACGCAGAGAGGAGATGACCATGATTATGGGGTCAGGTGAGGAATGGTTCCAGAAAGCAGGAAAGATGAAAACAAAAGCCAAAGAATAAAATAAACAAGTAAATAACAGGGTGAGAATGTGGTAAAATTCTTTTTCCGAATTGCTTTTTAAATTTGCCGGTTGGGTTTTTTTTTTTTTTTTTAAATACTATCAGTTAGGTTTAGGGAAGAAGGAGGGTGGGTCAGTTGATCAGTCAGTCAGTCAGTCAGTCATTCAGTAAGTCAAACAGTCAGTGGACAGCGGCCTCTGGTGGATTTACGAGAGAACAGCAGGCGTGAATAGCACTTGTGAGAGAAATGTGAGATCTTAAAAAGCACAGCGCCCTCTCATGGATTCACGAAAACAAAAACTGCAAAAACTGCAAAAAAAAAAAAAAAAAAAAACGTAGCTCCTGGGCTGTATTTGGCACTCTCCAGAAATGTATATAGAGGTACGTTTTCAGAATGAGCCTGGGTTGGCTTTCTCACAATGGTGTTTTTCACATATCTGTCTGCGTCCTTGTAATGGTGTGTAATTTATGAAAAAAATATGAACACTGTAAACAATGTTTTTTTGTGGCAACAAGCCATAAAATATAGAGAATAATATGAAATGATAGACTTTTTATTTTGTCCATATGATGTATATCATTATATTGCACAGCCCTGTTGTGAATTACAATTTACCAACCATCTGAATTCACACCGTGTTCACCTGCCTTTAACTTTGATAAAATTAAAAGTTCTATGAATCTTAGATGTCCTTTAGAACCATCAATGTCAATAATTAAATAAATAAACACAAAATAATAATATTTCTTTATTTCCTTTATTTCCTTTATTTTTACCCTTTTGTTAATGGTATAAATCACAGTTATGTACTGTCTGCACTCTCTTAGACCGGACTGCTGTTTTCAATGACCTACACTGCTTCAAAACAGATAAATATCAGCCTGTGCAGTGCCACAACAGTTTAAACACACCTTTCATATCCAACCATAATTAAACAAACCCAAAGCAGCTATTCCTCTTCAGGATAAGCAACTTTCAGGCAGGTGTGTTGGAACAGGGTAGAGCTAAACTCTGCATCACTGAGGATTGGCCTATATTTGCAAATCAAAACATTATTTTCAGTTCCATTTTAGTGAAAATCTTTATAGTTTTACTTATTCATTCATTTTCTTCTCGGCTTAGTCCCTTTATTCATCAGGGGTCGCCACAGCGGAATGACCTGCCAACTTATCCAGCAAATGTTTTACGCAGCTGATGCCCTTCCAGCTGCATCCCATCACTGGGAAACACCCATAAACTTTCATTCACACACATAACCTATGGACAACTTAGCTTACCTAATTCACCTATAGCGCATGTCTTTCGACTTGTGGGGGAAACCGCAGCACGTGAACTCAGGGAGAACATGCAAACTCCACACCAAAAATCCAACTGTCCCAGCCGAGGCTCCAACCAGCGACCACAGTGATACCCACCGAGCCACCTTTACAGTTTTATGTAAGATATAAATGTGGCTGTTTTGTTACATACACAATGAGCTCCAGGTGGCTCATTTTCAGTGCCCTATAAAGAAGTCTATTTGTTTTGAAGTTATTTATTGCACACTCAACATTTATAAGAGCAGGTTCAGTCACTGTCCTTTAAACAATTATCCACTTCACAATATAACCCGATCCCCATCTACTGCAAGAGTAAAAAATACTAGGAAAAGACACAAGGATGAAATGAACAGAGTTATTAGAAACAATGGCATGACTGACACTAAGACAAATACATAGCCATTATAGGCTTACCAATTACACTGGGTAATGCACATAAATGCTGAATCGTATTTCACTGATTCCATTTTGCTAATGGAATGTTTGGTCAAATCAGGATGAAGAACAGCTGCAATAAAACAACTATTACGTATCCATTACCACCTAAAACGGTAATGAAGATGTTTTCCACTTATTTTCTAACTGGTTTGAGTGACTATTACTTTGACTCAAACACAAACATATCTAAATATCAAAAGCAGTCATGCACACATAAACCATGGAAAATATTTTGGTACAGAAATTCTGTAATCGCTCAGACAGGTCAAATTCAGGATTTTACATATTACACACACACAAATAAACGTATACAGCTATCTTTATGAGGATTTTTCAAAGACGTCAGCATTTTTACACTTTCAAAATACTTTTCTGTGTGATTTATTAGCCGTTTGACTCATGTGGACCAAAAAATATCCTCAGAGTATGGAGTCAAATCAGTTTTTAAAAAAATATATATATTTTTTAAATTCATATATCCACAACACAAAATTCACATTTACAAAATTCAAGTCGTAAGTTCAAAACACAATTCGTGAATACACAAACCCAATTTGTAAATTTAAACAAGATTAAAAAAAAATATGCAAAACTAATTAGTAAGTTTTAAACACGATTCAAAAATATGCAAATCTAATTCGTAGGTTTAAAACACGATTCAAAAATATGCAAATCTAATTCATAAGTTTAAAGAACGATTTAAAAATATGAAAATCTTATTTGTAAATTCAAAACACTATTCAAAAATATGCAAATCTAATTCGTAAGTTTAAAGCATGATTAAAAAATAAACAAATACAATTCGTAAATTCAAAACATGATACAAAAGTAAGCAAGTCGAATTCGTAAGTTCAAAACACTATTCAAAAATATACAAATCTAATTTGTAAGTTCAAAGAACAATTCAAAAATAAGTAAATCTTAATTGTAAATTCAAAACACTTTAAAATATGCAAATCTAAATCGTAAATTCAAAACACTATTCAAAAATACACAAATCTAATTTGTAAGTTCAAGGAACGATTCAGAAACATGCAAATCTTATTTGTAAGTTTAAAACACGATTAAAAATATACAAATCTAATTGGTAAGTTCAAAACATGATTAAAGAAATATAATTATAAAAATATAACACAGATATAAGTTTGTAAATTTAAAACTTGATTCAAAATTACACAAATCCTAATGATTTGGCAAAATATTTTTGATTTTTAACTTTGAATTCACGAATTGCATGTTTACAATATTATGAATTAGAATTTGCAAATACAAATTGTGCTATGAATGTATGAATTTTATTTTGTAAATGTGTTATTTTTGAGACTGATCTGGCTCCATACCATAGAGGTATTGCTTACTTGTGGTCTCTAATGTAAGGTAAAACATTTAAACACACACTTATACCCTTACAATTGAAAAAGAGTTTAAGAATTTAAAAACATTCTCAGTTAACTTCCAAATAATAATCCAAATTAAATTTCATAACAATGTTTAGTTTTATCATATGATACTATCACTGTACCACAGAATGTTTTTAAAAGGCATTATGGCATTATTATATATGCTGACATTATGAGTTTTGCATGAATATCTGTGGGCACACACACACATACACTACACACACTCAAAGCACCCACCTCATAGGACATAAGATCGACAAATCTACTGCCAAAACAACAAAGTAGCTCATCTTTTACATCTCAAGCCCACTCAAAGCAAGGTGTCTGAATGGCTGCTTAGCACCATGTTTTTGAAGTCTCAGCATGAGAGATTGAAATGAGACCACACATGGTAAATAAAGATTTGGAAGGTGCAGAGACTTTGTCATGGCTTGTTAGATTCATCTGTGGGTTTTAGCTGTGGGATGAAGGCAGATGAACAATAGACCCTTACCAGCACATGTTATCCCTTCTTTTTCCACCTCCATGTCCCCCTTTCTCTCGCTCCCACACCCTTTGGCCTTGAGTTCTCCACAGACTTTCTTTGTGTCTGCTGTTCTGTCCATCACCATCTAGTCGCTTCGGGATGTTTATATTCTGTAATTAGAGAGTAAATGCAACGATGAAACAGTAAAACGGTTGATACATCAGGCTTCAAAAGGCCTATATGATATACTGCTATAGTGAGAATATGAAATAAAAAAGAAGCTGTAATAAGCAAATTAGTGCACTTGTTATTTATATTTCCGCAAATATATTATACTTAGTATAGTACAAGTATAGCAGTCTACTTACATAACATGCATATATATATATATATATATATATATATATATATATATATATATATATATATATATATATATACTAACTGACAAAAGTCTCATCGTCGATCCCAGTTGTAAGAGCAACAAATAATAACTTGACTTCTAGTATTTCTAGTATATGGTAGATTTTCTGATGAATCATCTGTTGAAAGTTATCACAATCATCACAAATACTGCAGAAGACTTATTGGAACCTGCATGGACAAAAGATTCTCACAGAATCAGTCAAGTTTGGTGAAGGAAAAATCATGGTTTGGGGCCACATTCATTATTAACAAGAGATCTGCAGAGTGAATGGCAACATCAACAGCCTGCAGTATCAAGACATTTGTGTTCTGCCCATTACATTACAAACCACAGGAGTGGGCAAATTCTTCAGCAGGATTGCACTCCTTCTCATACTTCGGCAAAGTTCCAGAAAGAAAAGAAGGTCAAGGTGCTCCAGGATTGGCCAGCCCAGTCACCAGATATGAACATTATTGAGCATGTCTGGTGTAAGATGAGGGAGGCGTTGAAGATGAATCCTAAGAATCTTGAACTCTGAGAGTCCTGCAAGAACACTTTCTTTGCCATTCCAGATGACTTTATTTGAGTTATTTGAGTCATTGCAGAGATGTCTGGATGCAGTCCTTCAAGCTCATGGGAGTCATACACAATATTAATTTATTTTTCACTGCACCATGACTTTATATTCTATACTGTACATTATTGCTGTCAACTGACAAGAATTTTGTCTAAGCAAAGTCAGTCCTTACTGTCTTAATTCTTGCGTGGGTTTCCTCCAGGTGCTCAGGTTTCTCCTAATTGAATAAACTAAATTGGCCATAGTGTACGAATGTGTGTGTGTGTGTGTGTGTGTGTGTGTGTGTGTGTGTGTGTGTGTGTGTGTGTGTGTGTGTGTGTGTGTGTGTGTGTGTGTGTGTGTGTGTGTGTGTGAGAATGTAAAAGTGTATGGGTGTTTCCCAGTACTAGGTTATGGCTGGAAGGGAATCTGCTGTATAAAACATATGCTGTAATAGTTGGCAGTTCATTCCACTGTGGTGACCCCTGATAATCAGGGACTAAGCTAAAGGACAATAAATGAATGAATGAATGAATTAATGAATGAATGAATAACCCTTTAAGTTACTCTCATTTCTCTCTTAGCATTACCTTTCTATAAATGACAGAGCACAAATAAATAAGTAAATAACATTTTATTTGACAAAACTGCTGTTTGTGTATATTTTAACAGCAAAACAACACAAGAAATGGAACAAATATTGCCACAGTTTTTTGGGGGAAAACATTTAAATTATTATTTTAGAGTGCAAAAATCTGAAAATCCTAGAGGTTTCTCTCTTTCCCAAAAGTAGCCTGTGAAAACAGAGACATGGCAGTGGGAAAATGTGCTTGTTGCTGATGTAGGAGATTTTGAGTAAAATCCATTGGATGAAACCAGTGGCGCGAACGAGATAAGACACAAAGAGAGCAATGTAGCATGCAGATGTTTCTCCAGCATTAGATCAACACATCTTCACCTCGCTGCACCACTTCAACACAACTGATTTCACACGTTCCCTCATAGTTATGCTTATAAATGCATAACTTAAAAAAAATGTTTAGGATTGAATAACTAAAGTCCTTTGAATAAAGACAATGAAAAAAAAAACTAATATTGCCAGACCATTCATATAAAAGTTTCATGTTTTTGTAATCTAAATATGAAATATGTTTTTACTCTATAATCCAATTAAAAATAAAACAATTAAATAAACTAATTTTATATTTAGGAGCACATTTAGCCATCGTTACTGATCGCAGCCAATACATTTTAACACCAGGTGGAAACAGGATCTCTATGCAAGAATACATTTTTATGGATGAGATTAACAGATTCTAGCATCCAGACACAAATTAAACTGCACACGGCATTCCGAAATTGGAATGCAGCCACAAAAATCTGGGTGAAGCAATTGTAGTTGCATTGGCAAAAATACGGGCAGCCCTAAATAACCCAATGCGCTGCGACGGTGCGTGTTTGTTACTGTTTATTTTGGAAGGAATGCTTTGGCATGTATGCTGTAAATGCTAAACAGCAGAAAATAGCGCACAACCTTCAATTAAATGTCTCTTGTTTTGTCCTGCCGGGAACAATGAAAGCAAAGATGCTGTTTAAAAAATAGCGGCATGTTTTTGTTGTGTCAGAAGCATTGTTGTGGAATGTTTCGTTGTGAAAGCCGCACAAGGCTGGACTTTGAGGAGTAGCGAGGAACAGGCCATAATGACACACTGCCAGCTTAAACCAAACACTTTTCTGAAGTTTGTTTATGTGGATTATAGTTAGCCATTAGTTCCAGCCTTGTCATCCTCACCACAAACTAAACCACTTTACCTTGTGTTTATGTGTCTCTTTAGGACTTGCTGCACCTCACAGAGATGGATCTGTTGGGTTTGGGGGTCCAAAGTCGTCTTCATCGAATCCATATTCTCTCTAGTATCCAAGTCCTGCGAGAACGTGAAACAAAACGAGGTTAGTCTTGCTTTTTCTGAATCTACTGTCAGACTACAGAGTTGATACTGTACATGCTTTAATTTATCGACTCAATAATGCTAATATATAAAGTGAAAATCCCTAACATTTTCATGAGACTTTTAGGGATCAGTATAAAATCAAACTCTGAGGCAAAGAAAACAAAATGTATTCATTTGCCTAATCTTATAGCATAAGAAGTGCTACAGACCTCACAAATCCAGCTCTGTCAGTTACTTTGTAAGCGATATAATGGAAAGAAGATTTCTAAATTCCTTCCTATTGTATTTTTCAGAACCTTTTTTGTATTAGTAGCCCTTGATGTAATGACTGTCTCATTACAAGACCTTCATAATTGTAAGAAAATTGTGAACTAAATTATTAAATGTAAAGAGCAAACCTAGAAAAAATAATCAACAGTCAGTATAGTGGATGTATATTGAAAAAAAACCCATAATGATTTATTATTATTATTATTATTATTGATTTACTTTTAATGCTCTACATGCAAGGGGACTTCTAATTTTGCTCAGGCCTTTCTGGTGAACTGTCTTGCCATTATAATCTAGATCTGATTTGTTTAAAATCAATGATCTTCACTGTCTGATTGAGATACTATATGAATCACATCGGACAAGAAGCACTCCAATAAATTACATTGTTCAGCACCATGTTTTTTAATTATGGAAATTTAATTCAATACAGTATTTCCAACGACGTTTCAGTGCTTGCCTTCTGCTCCTGAAGGTGCTTGCGTTTAAATGGTCTTTCAACTCATTTTACAATTTACAGTTTACAATTAATCATTTAGCAGACGCTTTTATCCAAAGCGACTTCCAAATGAGGACAAGGAAGCAATTTGCACAACTATAGAAGCAACAATGAATAAGTGCTGTAGGCAAGTATAAGAAGCAAAGCATTAGTAATATTTTTTTTCTTGTAATACAGTTAGCGGTGGAGCCAGAGACGCAATTACGGATTAGGAAGGAAAGTGGAGACTAAATAGTAAATAAAGAGTTTTTAGTCGTTTCTTGAAGACAACGAGTGACTCTGCCGTTCTGATGCAGTTAGGGAGTTCATTCCACCAACTGGGCAGCTTGAATGCGAGAGTTTGGGAAAGTGATTTCTTCCCTCTTTAACAAGGAACCACGAGGCGACGTTCATTCACAGAACGCAAGTTTCTGGAGGGCACATAAATCTGCAGAAGTGAGAGCAGATAAGAAGGAGCAAAGCCAGTAGTCGTTTTTTAAGCAAACATCAGGGCTTTGAATTTGATACGAGCAGCAACTGGCAGCCAGTGCAAACAAATGAGTAGCGGAGTGACATGTGCTCTTTTAGGTTCATTAAAGACCACTCGTGCTGCTGCGTTCTGGAGCAGCTGAAGAGGTTTAAGAGTTGCTGAAATAACAATGATATGTTCGAATGTTTTCTAGCCTCTTTAGAAAAAAAAGTACAAAATACACCTATAGACGAATTACCATGTTTGTAAACATTCAGAATGCACGTGCAGCAAGGTTGCAGAAAAAAACTGGGAGCACTAGCATTTACAGCAAGGGAATGACATCTGATGCGGTTCAGAGTTTGTTTATGTATTAGAAAGAAGTTATATTGATTACATATTATATATATTTATTTCATAATGCTTTCATCATAACAGCTTATCACCCAGTAATAAGCACAGTGATTCGGCAACATTAATGTTAAAGTGAGCGGCCTAGCCTACAATTAATTGTTCTGTGTGGTCATGTGCAAGAAATAATGTTCCATGATTACAAGATTCAAAACTTTGTTGTGCTAAAAACCGAGGTTCTGCCCAGCCAAAGACAAGAAAAAAAGACGGTACTATACGGCTTGGGTAATTAATCATCAACAAGCAAAACCACTGCATCCTGACAGCGAACTGCACCTGTAAGGTAGGTTATGTGAACTTACACTTTCACGTTTCATTCTTAGCATTCAGTGTTCGCAGTTTAATTAACCGTAACTTTTTTTGCTGAAATCATTGCTGCAATCAAAAGCGAGTGTATGATTCAGCATAACGTAAACGTACCTGATATGAAATGAGAACTGCAGAGTCGAGCATTTTTAACTAGGTCCTCACTCCATTCAGCTCCCTTTTAGCCAAAGTCGTCTGCGGTTGGCATTAAAAGCAGTGTGGTGTACGGTAAGTAAAGTTTTCTATTTCTATTCGAATTTGGCATCCTACTGCTCAACACAGCATGTTTGCTATTGCAACCAGTCTCTTTTTGCAACTTGAGTGATGTCATGTGTGACGTAGGTTGGTAATTCGTCTATAGCACATGTCTTTGGACTAAATTCAGCAATCTTCTTGCTGAGAGGCAACAACCACTGCGCCACTGTGTGGGCCTGAAAGGTTCACTTGAATCGACTTAAAAAAATAAGTCAGCAAGATTATTTATTTTTTTTTTTTACAATCTAGTCTTTTTGAAAAACAAAATGTGCAACAGAATCATTTAATTCCATTACTGAACCAGCCATTAAAATATCTCCTCAGAAACGACAGTGGTGTAAAAGCAGAAGCAGGAGCTTATCTTTTTGGGGATGTTTTCTCTAGCTGGGCTGAATCTGCTGTTCCTGCGCTCTCTCGGTCTGTGAAGTCCTGCTTGTACTGGACAGCATGTGACTGTGTCTGTCCAGGCGTAGAAGAGCTTCATTAATCACAGCAATCCTATAGTGTGGGAGAACACATCAGGACAAAGCTACAGGCACCGTATGCTATATAGGGGTCAAATCAACAGGGATTAGTTCACAGAAAGGAGCACTGAAGTGTAAGATGGATCTTCCAGTGGATTGTATTGTGTGTGTAATGGTAATGTCTATATTAGTTGTTGACATGACGTTGCATTTTCACTAATACACATGACAAAAAGTAATATAATTAGTGTTGTCATCATTTAAAATGCAGCAAATGGTTATTTCATTGTCTTACGTGGGCCTCTTGTTATAAAAATGGCTGTATTATTCATTTTTTTCTACATTTCCGAGGCAAATCTCAAAACTGTCCTATAGTGTGACTGTGTCAGTAAATTACAGCTCTCATAAATTAAAATGAAAGTCATAAAAACATTAATAAATACCTCAGGTAATTTAAGTAAAAGGCAATAGAGAAAACTGCTTCCTCTGGTGTGACACTATATGCTGTTTTTAAATTATGAAATTACACAGAAAACTGTAATAAGTTAAAGGACCCAATTCAAGATCATGTGACTGTGTTTTTAGGTTTTTATTTTTTGTTTTTTTTACTTATTTAACTTTTTAACATATGTGGAATCACAATAAAATCTGTATGTTGTCCTCTGATGTGACACTCCTATTTATTGAAAATGTCCAGCGATTTTAAATGTTATCAGTCGATTGAATGGGCATTATTAATGGTTATCAGCTGATAGATATGGGCCAGTAGGGACCTTCTGCACCCACTGGTAGGCTCAGGTGGCTGTTATCAACCATCCACATGGTTAATCAGCTATATGAGATATCAAATTTCTGCTCTTCTTGCGTAAATCTACCAGAAGCCGTTCCAATTGACCTGTCCTCCTCCTTCCCTAAACCCTGTTTTTAAAAAAACAGTCAAAAGCAAATTACTTGCTTGTTTGGCTTTTGTTTTACCTGCTTTCTGAGACTGTTCTTCGCCAGACTCAAACTCTGTCATCAGTGTCAACTTCACTCTATGTCACAAGTCAGCCAACATACACAGAGCCACTGGAGAAACTGGTGGTAACAGCCGAAAAGCCATCCATGTGGTGGTAAGCAGAATGAGCTTATGCTGATTATTTATATAATTTATTACATTTCCAATTAATTGTATTTTATTAATGTTTACCCCAACCCTAAACCCAACCATCACAGTAACGTAAAAACAGATCTGGATCTGGAGGCTTCTCTATTAATATAGCTGGTTAACCATGTGGATGGATGATAACAGCCTTCTGGGGCAACCAGTGGGTGCAGAAGGCCCATATTTATCAGCTGATAACCACTGATAATGCCCATTCAATCGACTTATAACATTTGAAGATGGGTGCAGTGTCCAACAAGTCCGACAAGTCATGAAGAAAAAAATATTGTTCATAATATCATACAAAACAAATAGCACTTTTTGAAGAAAAGCGTCCAACAACAAAGACAAATCATTCTCATACTATTTGTATATTATAATAAGACCTTTCTTAATTTTTTCTATTTCACATTGTAGGACATATTAAAGGTACATTTCAGTATTTTTTTTAAACAGTGAAAGAACTGATGAAGTTAGTGACCTCTTATATTTTCAAACTTAATACATTTTCAGTAAAGCCCAAACTATTCATACCCCTGGCAAATTCTAATACAATTTTTGGTTCAAATGTAAATAAATGCTGTAATATATAGTCAATTATATATATAAATGTATTAATTTATTGTCACTGTAAAACTATAACGCACTGATACTCGTATATATATATATATATATATATATATATATATATATATATATATATATATATATATATATATATATATATATATATATATATATATATATATGTGTATATATATATATATATATATACAGTTGAAGTCAGAATTATTAGCCGTCTTGAATTATTAGCTCCCCTGTTTATTTTTTTCCCAAATTTCTGTTTAACTGAGAGAAGGATTTTCTTTAACACATTTCTAAACATAACAGTTTTAATAACTTATTTCTAATAACTGATATATTTTATCTTTGCCGTGATCACGGTAAATAATTTTCAAGACACTTCAAGACAGCTTAAAGTTACATTTAAAGGCTTAACTAGGTTAATTAGCTTAACTAGGCAGGTTAGGGTAATTAGGCAAGTTATTGTATAATGATGGTTTGTTCTGTAGACTATTGAAAAAGAATATCTTAAAAGGGTCAAATTTTTGACCTTATAATGGTTTTTAAAAAGATTAAAAAACTGCTTTTATTCTAGCTGAAAAAAAAAACAAATAATACTTTCTCCAGTAGAAAAAAT